AGACAGTATCATCACTGAGAGAGAGAGTATTCAGACAGTATCATCACTGAGAGAGACAGTACAGAGTATTCAGACAGTATCATCACTGAGAGAGACGCTACAGAGTATTCAGAAAGTATAATCACTGAGAGAGTACAGAGTATTCAGACAGTAACATCACTGAGAGAGACGGTACAGAGTATTTGGACAGTATCGTCACTGAGACTTGAGAGAGAGGGTACAGAGTATTCGGACAGTACCGTCACTGAGAGAGACGGTACAGAGTATTCGGAAAGTATTGTCACTGAGAGAGATTGTGAATTTTGAGTGCATGTTTGTGAGACAGTCAGCAACCGAGAGAGGGAGTGGTGTTGAGGGAGGGTGTGTGTTGGTCTTCAGTTTCAGTCTGAGTGAAGACAGGAAACCAGTGCCAAAGTGTCTGTTGATGTTCTCATTATTAGAGATCCAATTACCACGCTGATGAGTAACTGAGGGACCCCTGCCTCCCTGTCTGTTTTCGAAGAACATCAGAAGATAATGCTGTACAGCGGGGAGGGCTCCCTCAGTTACTCAGCAGCTGATCGGTCCCAAGTTATCTTATCCCGAAGGATCCCAGCAGACCGATCCCAGACGCTCGATCCAGACCCCCACCACCCTTTGTGTAAAGTTATACAGTCTTTGTGCTCAGTCGTAACCTCCTGCTGTGCCCTTGCATTCTAGTTCCACTGTGGAAGGTAAAGGGATCATTTGGTTGACTTTGTCAACAACCTTTCAGGATTTTGAATAGTGCGCTACCTGAAGGGACTGACAGTGCGTGACATTCCTTTCCGACCCAGAATGGTTCTGGCTGCTCCTCTACGAGCTCGTCCTGCAGAGCGAGGAGCAGGCTAGAGCGCTGCCACAGGTGCAGTGACCCAGCTCTCTGCTCTCTCTCAGATATCAGGATGTCGAAGCCGGCAGAGGCTGAGAAGTCAGGGGTAGACTCTTCTCAGCTGGAGAGCACAGGTACTGTGTCTCTCTGCATATAAATATGCCAGTGTGTCAGTGTCTCTCAGTGTGTCTCTCAGTGTCTCTGTGTCTCTCAGTGTCTCTCAGTGTCTCTGTGCCTCTCTGTGTGTGTCTTGGTGTGTCAGTGTGCTACAGAGTCTCTGTGTCAGTGTGTTTGTGCCTCTCAGTGTGTCTCTCGGTGTGTCAGTGTGTCACTGTCAGTGTGTGGGATCTGATAAGATCTCTCTCCTCCCCTCCCTCTGTCACTTCACCTTTTCCCTTCTGTGTTCTCTCCTCTGTTTTTCTCACAGTTTCCGACTGTGTGAAAATGCTCATTAAGCAAAAAGAAATGCCTTTATGAATCTGTGCTACATTACTGCCCACGACAGATAATTATCACACTAATAACATTCTGTTGTTTCCTGACTAATCTTTCCTCTCTCTCTCAGACTCCGAGAAGAATGGTCCAGATTCCAACCATCAGGTAGCTTCTTATATTGTTGTTATTATTATTATTAGTAGTAGTAGTATAAGTATTATTAATGAGTGGAATCAGTGCCCCTCTCTGACTGGTTGTTCTTTGGGTTGTGATTTTTTAGGTCCAGCCAATGAAAGTCAGTCCCTTCGCCCTCTCGCCCACTCTGAGCAGCAACAAGGTAAGTGGTGAGCACTCTCCACATCCACACTCTTACTCTTATTGAGAGACAGGCTCACTGTTCCTCAGGCTGGGACAGGAG